CATTTTGGGTGGGATTTAGGAATGGTCATATTTAAAGTGAGTGATTGTGTGGATGGGTATTAATTGGAATAATTTTGCATGTTTTTTTTGAGATTTTGTTTGATTTATTTCAGATACAAAATCTGTATAAATAATTGATTTTAAATTGTTAATTAATTCTTTCCTTGACATTATGCAAATTGTAGAATTTAAAAGGGCTAGCATTCTTGTATATTTTTATGAAATTTAGAATATGTAATTTATATGTATGTAATATGTATATCTATATAATATATAATTTATGTATGTAATATGTATATTTATATAATATATTTATGTATGTAATGTGTATATTAATATAGTCTCTTTGCATGATCAGTGGTATTTTGAGTTAATTCTTTTTAAGGAGGGATTCTTGTCTGATATTTCTAGCTATTAAATGAAAAATATTCAAAATATATTTGCTGAAATTTACTGGTTATTGTACAAGTTTGAATTGAAATGGTAAACCAAGTTTGAATTCTATTTGGGACTATATTTTTGGCTGAACTGTGGCATATGAAAATATTTTTCTGTTTCTAAAATAAATACAGAACAATGAATTTTAAAATTTTGAAACAAATAAAAGATTAAAAGAAATTTATTTTCTGAAGTGGCTGAAATAAATAACTCTGGACTAAAGTTATTTCAAAAGAAAGATTTTCATACAGAATACAATATGGCTAGCTTTTGAAATCTTACAATCTACTAGAACATTTGAGCACAAAAAACTCTCTTACTAAATAGTCAGTATTTTGGGTGTTTTCAGAATGTATCATTTTGTATCTAATATAATAGGAAGCATTTAGCAATAACTAATGTCCATTAAAAATTAAAGAAAAACAGAGGTCAGATGTAATCTTAAAAAGTGCAAAAGAAAAAGTCTATATCAGAACAGAGGCCAGGTTAAGTAATACCAGTACTTTGTGATATTGTTTTCTTCAATTTATGACAGTTTCATTAATTTCAAATCTGATAAATATTAGAAGAATCCATCTTAAAGTTTCTTTAATTTTTGTAGAATGAAGTAATCAGTTTTGTATTGTGAATAATTAAATACTTATTACATATTATAGGACATGCAATTATCAGTTATTTAATGTTTATTAAACTATGTGATGTAGTATTTTTGTGTGTGTCTTAAGTTTTTCTTAGATAACTTGTTTGGTGGAAAGACAGTTTGAGCACTAAATTTTTCTAAACCCCCCCCCCCCCCCCCCCTCATGTTAAAAAGGGGATATTGGTTTTGAACCTATAAGTTGGTCAGTATCAAATAGACATCAAACTCAATACACTGAAGTACAACTGCTTCCTCCTATGGAGTTGATAGCCTCAACAGCGGAGTTTAGTAGTCACAGTGTCAAAGGTCATAGGTTACACTATTATGAAAAGAGGAAAACATTGTTCAATATCTTGAGAAACTAACCTTGTCATGAATCATTTTTGATACACTGGTTCCTTTAAAAAGTAGTTGACCTTTATTGATCTGGGGGTTACACGATTAAAGGTCAATCTGGGCTCAAGTAAACAGATCTGGACGTAGGATAAATTTTACAGCTGGTATAAAATAAGAATCAGTCTTTCAGGGGGGTGGGGTCAAACTTGACACCCCCTCCATTTATGTCAAATTTGTCATTTTTTATACCACGTGGGGTATAAATGCTTGAAACATTTGTCCTGTCTAATTTTCTCATAAGCAGGGATATTTTGAAGTTTGGGGTTTCCATAAATAGGAAATTGTTCCCATATTCAATCTAGGTCTTAATAAAAAATGATGAACAATCCTCATAACCCTTGCATTCGCCATGGACTAAGTATCAATTTTTATCTATATTTTTTTTCTCCTTTGTGGAACCATTGTTTTAATTTTGTGAATTTATAAGAATAATTTGTGCAAAACATTTCTCCTTTGCATTTAAATTATGTACTGAACATCATATTAAAGTTAAGTTACAATTAAGATGTAATTTTGTTTTTTTTTATGAAATATATGGAGATAACAAACTATATTCGATCTCAAAATTAATTAAACAATAAAAATCAGGAACCCTCAAAAACATCAGAGGTGGGATCAGTTGCCATGGAGGATTGAGCATTCCCTGCCGACCGGTCTCCCGGCATTGTTCTCCTTGTCACGATTTGTAAATATCGTCGACAATTCATTGTGTAAAATTAGTATGAAAAACGTCAATCAGCATTTGACTTAATGATTGGTTGTTTTTGCTTCTAAGGTCAATGTATCGAGCACAGAACTTACGAAATGATGCCTTTAAAGGAGACTTGATATTCTTGTTTCATCAACTTGTTTGTCAATGACTTACCTTGCTTTAAAAATTGTTCATATGAAGATCATGCTCTTGCGTATCGAATCAGCTGAGGGTGATAAACCCCTTGTGCAAATGTTGAAAATATATTGCTGCATAATTACAATAAGAGACGTTGACGATTCAGAAGATAGTTATCACGTTTATCATAAACTACCATAAACGTCTTTTCTCGTTAAATATCCTAGTATGAAACAGATGTGTCGGACTTTTTGGTATCTTTAATTTAAAGCTCATCAGAAATAAATTTGTCTTAGATGTAAAAGTGATTATATAGGAAAGAATTTAGGTCTTTATTCCTGTTATTATGAGCAATAAACATGTATAGGCAAAAGGCATGACACATAATTCTATATTAACATCAATGATTGCAGTACATGTACCCTCAATATAAGTGGAAAGAAGATGGGGGGGGGGGGGGATAAGGTGGGCAGAATGTCTATAGCTCGATAGATAAGAAGCGAAAAATTTAATCTAAAATTATATCCAAATTTTATGTCAGATTTCATCTAGTATTAAAGTATACTTATGTAAAATCTCTATAATTTACAAAAATCTCACTGAAAATATTTGCCTATGAAAAAGCATACACAGACTTAAAGGAACAAAAACGATCATTTTTTTCATACTTTAACAACATTTTTCAATATGAGTGGGTCTTTGCTCCATTTTTTTGAAAGATAATCCTAAAAGTTTGCGATAAAATAAATATTTTTTGGTTTACAAAAAAATGGAGCGAAGACCCACTATACCTTAAAAGTATACTTTTATGACAAATCATTCGCATCTTTCCGAGATTTTTGGTTTACAAAAAAAATGGACCCACTATACCTTAAAAGTACACTTTTATGACAAATCATTCGCATCTTTCCGAGATATACTTCAAGTCCATTAAGTCAAGGGTCATATCACAAACATGAATAATACATGTATCATGCTTTAGTAACATTGCATTGCAAGAATGATCTCGTTGATCTACAAAATGAATGCTGAATAATAACTTCTTCTGATTATCTCAATTTTAATGACATCTCATATCATTATGAATTACCGCTTATTATACCAAGATTCCAAATTGGAAAAAAAATTCACCTATAAACTATATAAAACTATTTTACACAGTACTTACCCACACAAAGACCTACCTAACTATATAAATACCTAACACAGTACTTGCACGCCAAAAGACCCACTCAACTATATATATATATATATATATATATATATATATATATATATATATATATATATATATATATATATATATATATATATATATATATAACTACCTAACAAGTGAGGATCAAGTCAATTTTGCACCTGAAGCAACCATTACCTGTTAATGTTGTTATAATCATGATTAATATATTGTTTGTTTTTAATTGTATAATATGCCCCCTGAGGGCCCTTGATTGGTGAATAAATAAATAAAAAAAATATAACTACCTAACAGTACTTACCCACCAAAAGACCCACTTAACTAAATATAACAGCCTCCCCCCCCCCCCCACTTTATTTCCAAACATTATAAGTTTACTATTGAAAATGTTCATTGAAAGGCTGGTTGCCCCCCCCCCCCCCCCCCCCCTCCTCCCAGTTTTTACTTCATTAAATTGATATAAGGGGGAAAGTTGACCACTACCCCCCCCCCCCCCCCCCCCCCCACACACACACAAAACAGGATTTTCGAGTTTGGGCAAATTTTTTTCTTGCTTGTCAACTTTTCCAGGCAAGTAAAAAAAAAAATTTCCTTTGGCTGCTCCCCGCCACTTTCAAAAACGATGCTACGTCACTGTACGTAACTATTGGATTATGTACAACAGTACTTATTCGCTTAAAATACAACTACCTACAATAGTAATACTCACTCATCCGAAGACCTAACTACTGAGTAACTATTTAAATTACAACGAAGTACCCACCCCAAAGACCTCCATATACCTAACTAATATAACTACCTACTTCAGAGTAACTATTTAAATTACAACGCAGTACTCACCCACCGAAAGACCTATATACCTAAATAAATAAAATAATATAACTAACTACTTCAGAGTAACTATTTAAATTACAACGCAGTACTCACCCACCCAAAGACCTATATACCTAAATAAATAAAATAATATAACTAACTACTTCAGAAGTAACTATTTAAATTACAACGCAGTACTCATCCACCCAAAGACCTATATACCTAAATAAATAAAATAATATAACTACCTACTTCAGAGTAACTATTTAAATTACAACGCAGTACTCACCCACCCAAAGACCTATATACCTAAATAAATAAAATAATATAACTAACTACTTCAGAAGTAACTATTTAAATTACAATGCAGTACTCACTCACCCAAAGACCTGTACCTAACTAATATAACTACCTACTTTGTTCGAAGACCGACCTGACTAAGTATATCGATCACTAGACAGTCAAATAAACACCCCCCCCCTGTCCCTCCCGGGGTCATATTCTAGATGGATTTTTTGAAAAATTCATTAAGGGGCATGTATTTGTTATACCAAAAGGAAAGTATTGAAGTACAAAGTGAGATATATATACAATCAGTATTTATCATTTGAAGACCATAGTGAAGTGTACATAACATTATCACTCGTTCATTTTCGATTAATCTATTGTTATCTGACAACCGGGGTTCTTAGTAGATGGGAATATTCAACATAATCATGTAATATTCCGTTGTACCAGCGAGTTTGTCTGTCTGTCTGTCTGTTTTTCTTATGCACTGTACGGTTCAGAATCACAAATCCATGCACGTCTGGGTCAAAAGTAGGATATTGGACTTGTTCTGAAGGTAATGGTAATGAATATTGTTTTGCTCGTTAAATCATTCTATCCATCATAAATCTCTTTGTTTTCTTTATTTCAAAATAATTAGCCGCGCAAATCCTTGAATTATCGTATATCGGGATTCATCCAAGCCCCCCCCCCCCCAAGAAAAAGATCGAGAAATTACCCCACCCCCTTTGAACACCATTTTTAAACAAAGTTATTTATCAAACGTGAAAAACAAAATTTCTTCGTAGGCTGGGGTGCGGCGATCTTTTACATCTTTGGTTCCTCCTATGTACCAACTTAGAATCTAATAAGGATTTAAATATTTTCGAAGAAGGTCATTTTTTAAATCTTCTTTAAATGTACGTTTTAATTCCACATCCGCAAATTCCGGTGTGTTTGAAAAATTGGTTGGGGAAAAGGGTGAGTTCTGGATCTGCGCATGCATGCTCCAATTATTTAAATGTAGACTCGGTTTACAAGTACAAATATTGCATAATACATGGTAATGCCAATTTTTCTTCAAGGAAGAAAAACGTACATGTGCTTGTGACCAGGACCTCCGACCCCCTGTTTTGACAGTTTTAAATCGTTTCCATTCAATATGGAGACATTATCAATATCACTGTAGAAGCAAAATATGTCCTGGTTTCTCTGTCTATTTCAGTATAGGAAGTAATGACTTTCGAAGAAACAATACAAGATCAAGACCTTTTTTCAGCTACCATAAGATTAATGTTTGAATTTGTATTGTTTCCGACTTCCTCCCTTCTACTCAAGTCTTTTTAGACTTTTTGTAAGTTGACATTACATCAAATTTAGTCTTTTTCTTCTCTTTTTTTTCTCAGCAAAAATGTTGTTAGTTGGATTAATGTTATCAATCATGGTGGCTTTAGGAGGATTTTTATTCTGTGTAAACCTTAAGAGGTAAGTCAAATATTTAAGGAATCACTGTTTAGTTTGTCTAGTATGCCAGAGCATCAAGTATATATTATACATGTAGTTGGAAACGTGGAATAATTAGCCTGACGGGCGTTTAGTTTCCAACTTTCCTAAGTGTCTCTGACATGTGATTCCTAAGTTATACATTTGTACATATGTATTTGCATTTATATGAATTAAAACTGTAAATCAAAATAATTAAAGATAATACATGTTTTAAAATTTTCATTCTTATCCCGCTAACTGACGTCAGACTTAATGAGAGGTACTTTAAAAAATAACATGCATAGTCGGCACTTGACCTTTCACATGACGAAATTTTACACACTGGAGTTCGGTGGAGTATATACACGTATTAACAGAAAAAGCATATAGAAATGTAAATACTATAATAATATACATATATCTAACAACATTTCCTTCTTGTTCAGACTCAGTTTTAATGACAAAGTAATATACATGTATGTATTTTGAGAGATTTTAAAGAAATTCAACATAAGATCACATCTTTTTCTCCTTTAGAAATCGAAAAAATTCGGATAGAAATAATATACCCTCAACCACGACTCTAGCCAGAAAGCAAGACAACCTACAGTTGACAGAAAAATCAAGAAGCACAGCTCTTCCTAGTTTAAAGAACATGCATCTAGACTTCTATGAATCAAATAAATACGAAGACTACGAGGAACCAACGCCTAAAGTGAAACAGGAAGTCCAAGATGTCCCGCCTCCGACCTCATTCCACGACTCGAGAGACCCGAAATACGAATCGTGCATCAAATCAAATAAAACAGAACATGTATATCGAGGACTGTTTGAGAAAAGTGGGGAGTTTACAGCAAGTATTCGAAGTGAACACGTTTATGTTGATTTGACGTAATTAGTGAGCATTTCAGCGTAATTCAAACTTTTTGCAAGCAGCATAATATAATAATCATGTTTTACAATTAACTTTCATTGAACTATAGCTTGGGCCAATGAAAGAATCTTTTGTAAGAAAGGAGGAGTTTCTCTGTTTGCGAGAAATGTGTGTACTAGTACCGGTATTTGGATTTGGATCACATGCAGACTTCATTTGTAGCTAGATTCTGGTGTTAGAAAATGGGATAGGTTTATGTTGACAAAACCCTAATCCTAAAACGATAAATTATTAATACATGCATAAATAACGTATGCAACGTTGTTTCCGGTGTATTTTAAACAATTAAATAAAAATGTATCTGTATGTTTTCAGCACACAATGCTGCTTTATGCAGCTTTTCTGTTCATCGCGGTATACATAAAATAATTTATATGATGTTTTTACAATGTAAAGGGTGATAAGAAAATTCGTTCCATCATGAAATATTTGTTGAATATTTTAAATTATAGTGATTAACTGAAGAGAAGAGTTTTACAATTCAATCTGACAAATCATTTAAATTGTGTTTTCTATTAAAAAGAATTTGTAGGGGGAAGTTATAGGATTTTTTCCATACGAAAAAATATATAAATATCTTGAAAAACCAAAATGACAGAATTGCTGGTCATTTTGTGTAAGAAATTAGCATTATTAACATTTGTTTCTTCATAGCTTAACTTGCATCATACCGAACTGATGAACTATAAAGAAAGATTTGTCACTTTTTAAAAGACTATGTTTGTCATATTGGAATTAAATACTGACTTGATATGTTTTGTATCTATAGGTATTTGAAAGGATATATCGACCTGTGTGCTTAAGATAGTTCACAAATTTGATGCATCCCTGATTTTTCTGCACAGACATTATCTGCTTCATACCTGCCCTTCGCTTTCCGTTTGCTAAATTTTTAGCTTTCAGTAACAGGAATTCATAAAATTGACTCTATGAACATGAAATATTATAAATTTTAGATATCTACAAATTGTATTTCTTTTCGAAAATGAAAGAAAATTGTCAAATGAACTTTCTTAATACCCTTTATGTACTATTCCTCTCGTATAGGCTTTATTGGCTTTAAAGCTTACAAATTTGTTTCCTAATATATAAAGGTATGTACATGTGCTGATTAAAGACTTTTCTTTGTATATATACATGTTAGAAAATTGAGATAATCGTTTATTTTAATATTTGTGCCATGTTTAAAGAATAGAGAAAGAAATAATAAAGAATAATGAACTTCCTTCTCCTCTTACAGGTAATTTAGACAGATTTCAATAAAACTTGACGCAAAATAAGAGATCGGATTAACTTCTTAAAAGGTCTGTCCATTAATACTGTGAGTGCAGAAAAGGAATATTGACGTTATCACAAAGGAGATATGTTTTCTTGTGAAGCCGATAAAAATATGGATTTTAACCAAATTAAAGGACTACTGAACATTGTCAGTTAGACTACATTGTTTTGTTTTCCTTTTTTAATTCAGAAAATTTATAAATGAGAATCTATTAAAGATTGATTGGCCGAAAGACTGAAGAAAGTTGTTTCTTTCTTAAACGAAAAAGGGGATAGTACTTACCAATTTAAGGACTCCTGAATGAGGACCAGTTAATCAAAGGATTCTTCATGCATCGAGCAGTAAATATGATTAGGTATGTAGACACTTAGAGGGGCAATACGGAAATACATGGGGTCCTTAATCATGACCAAACTCAAAGTCCTATTTAGTGGGAGGGATGATTAGTATTGGACTTTTCTTTAATTCGCGTTTTACAAGCTCAAAAGATAAATTAGTATTGTTATGTCACCACTTTTAAAAATTGTTTCTGTTTTTAGATACATTAAATGGATAATTATATGTATGAGGTTTTCGAAGGAACACCAAGTATATATGCTGTTTTAAAATCGTTCAAGGAGACTGATCCAACTAAAAAGCTGGGAATTATAGGGGGAAATAAGAAAATATATATACCATAATGATATGCTTCTGAATTGATAAGTGATGTTGTGGTTACTTTTTAAATTGAACACCCACCCACCCCCATAAATAAAAAAAAACGCACCAGACTGAGGTGGGACCAGAAACCATGGAGGACTAAGCATCCCCTCTCGACCGATCCCAAATACAATGTACATCTATAATATGCTTCTAATTAACCTTTTAATGCATGGTAATTTCAATTTTGAAATTTTTAGAGCGAGAACCGTGATCCACATATCGGGTATTCATCTTTGCTGTCGTGTTTCTAAAAATATCTATATTATTACTTAAAAATAAATAATCCTACTCTAAATGATTATATATTTATGCAGATATGAATGTAAATAATAAAACGTATTTCGACAAAGGACTTCATTTTAGACATACAAGGTATGTTTAGTACTGAATCTTTTTACACTAATACTTTATTTTTAAAAGATTAAGAAAGATCGTTCTTAGCTCACATTTTAAAAAGGTTACTCAAATACTCCCGCGTGGGGTTGTCTGTTCTTGTGTTCTTTTTAAAGCGATCGCTAGAGGCGCTAGCAATGTTAGAAAGGTAGACAACCCAATTTTCTTTCAGACGGAACTCTTCACAGAAACGCCCGAGGAATTCCGATACCAGTTGCTTGGGAAGCAGCTGCAACGTGATGGAAAAATTTATTATCAATTGTACATAAAGAGCAATTTTCTTCGGAAAATATGGCAACATTATTGCGAAGTTATCTCCGTGTTTTAGAGAAGCATCCATTGCTTACAATGTCTTGTACCACAGGTAAGTGTTTTATGCATGATCGATGATTATAGATCCACTTAAGCTTTTCCCTCACTGAAACAGTTCAAAGGATTCGTAAAACGGTTTAGAGTTAGAGGTGGATCTATAAAAACATCGTCACCAAATATAATGATCTTCACAACGTACAGTTCAGTGTCGCATTGGTTTTATGATGATTATTTGCGTTGCTATTAGATAAAACCAGAGATATTTTGAATTTTTCGACTCATGTGGATCGAGGATCGAGGAAACTCGAACTTAACATGTGTTATAATACATTTTTAAGAGTTATATCCCGTTGTCGACAGAACAGTACTCCTTTACTACTTTCAGCCTTTAAACTCTATTGATCAATTTTGATCAGAATGTAGCTGCAGATCTGTAGCTCTCCAAATAAAAATATATTGACAGACCGGAGAGCTACAGTGCCACCCATTGTAAAAAATGTATATTTATTGCGCACAAAAAGTTGTGCTTAGTTCTGGATTAAGGGGAAGAAGGACCTTTAGCTGAAAAAATACCTGTCATTCAATTTTTTTCATATTTTGTATTTCTCTAATTTAGTATGTCCCACATACCTTAAAGCAGATATATCAATAGGTTTCTAGACTTATTTTTGAGATATTGACATGATTGAGTGACAAATACTATACCCCACAGTGTCTAAGTGGAGTTTTGATTCTCGATGTTTCTGGGCCCATTAGTCGGTCCATAATGGATTTTTTCAGCGTAGATAAAAAATATGTCAGCGATCATGTGTCTATTAAAATATTTCAGTGTATTAATAGGGTCAAAAATTCGAAAAAGCAATTTTCTTTTGTCACACTGCATCTGGAGACGGAAAATTACGTACTTTATTAAGACAACTTAAACAACAAAAAATTACTTTACAAAAAATCCTATCATTCAGTATTTGAAAACTTATGTTGAAATGCAAGATCGTCATGTTATTGATTACCTGTAGAAATATCGATTGGTGAAGCTGAGCTCAATAATGCACAGTGCATAGTTAAACAAGACATGAGCTTGAGAAAAATGTGTCATGTTTACATTTCTCGAGTACGGGAAAACCTAACTGTGACGTCACACATTTGCGATATGAGACATACCTACAAAATATTTCCATCAACAACCATGTAAAAATATTTTTTGTGTTCCCTAATTCACAAAATACCCCAACATGTACTGATCATGACCTGTTTTTAAGATATTCTACTACCCGTGTTTTACCGTGTATAATCTTACTGTGCTAAGAGATCCACTTTGACGTCAACGACTCGTTGGATGCGCAGTGTAGGAAAACAGAAGAGTGGATCAATCTATTCCGTGATTTGATAATATTTGCAAGAAAGTTTGAATCTTTCTATATATTTTTATACAAGATGATGAACTCAAACAAACAGTTAAAAAATTATACAAGTACTGTGGTTTCAATCTTGTTTTATACATATTTTATCAGAGATTATGATGTAATTAAACTCAGTCATGTGACCATACATCCTTCGTCCCCTTAATTCTTCCAAATTCTTACCTCAATCGCGAAAAAGATACATTTTAAAAAAATCCTTACTCCTTTATGAAGTACTCTCATAGTTGAAGTCTGCACGAAGTGCGTTTGAACGAATTAGGCTTGCAAACCAAAATGGCAGTGTAAATTTATAGACAAAATTTTTGATGATCTTGATTTCAGCGCCAGGAGGGCTAGCTATTAACAACAATTATGAGGAATGTTTTTTTTGTGGAAACAGTGAAGGAATATGTTAGGAACACACGGTTTGTAACATTTTGAGAAGACTGTTTAAAGACATGGTGAAATAAATTGAAATTGTGCGCAATGAATATACAGTTTTTCAAATGGATGGCACTGTAGCTCTCTGGTCTGTCAATGATATTTTTTCAGAGAGCTACAGATCTGCAGCTAATCAGAATGGTGCAACATAAAACATAATGAACATATTCATACAAATTTTAATTTGTAGGACATAAATCATTGCCCTATAAATTCTGTATCATTTGAATGTATGTTGACTCAGGGCCGTCACTGCCCTCAAATTTGGACCGAATATCGGACCCATTCCCAATGGCACAAAGTGCTAGATTTTCCCAATTTCATACTTAAAATTTCCCCAAAACGTGTTTTCTTGTTTATATCACCTAATTTTCCACAAATGCATCCTTTATTTGATCCATTTAGCAGTAATGCATGGTTGATTTTAATCTGCAACAACCCTGTCATGATCGTTTATTTCTAACTCGAATTTCCTCTGTCATGGAATAGAGATCTATAGATAGGTCATACGTAGATTGGGTTGGAGAACTTATTTACATTATTGAACAAGGATAATCATTATGAGTTAGTTCATAAAATAAATAAATATATTTTTAAGTGAATTATAAGTTAAAATAAAATCTTGGATACTATCTATTTCATTTGCATGTGTTAAATGTCCAGAAAAAAAGAAATAAATTGTAGATCTAGGCAATTTTATGATATTACCTTTAAAAGGAAAATTTTAAATAGTAACTTAATAGTTTCAATAAAATTATTCTTTATAACCTAAATTTTTGATTTATTTAAGATGCAATTAAACAGTAAGAAATAACCCCCCCACATTTTTCAGTCTCTGTATTATATGAAAATTAAAAAAAAAATGCCTGCCTAGTAAGTAAATGTTTGATCTGTTAAATATAGATTTTATCAGACCTTATGACTTATGTCCTGTAAATTTTGGCTTTTCAAGTATACTTTTCAAAGTGATAAATGGCTTTCATGATTAAATATTTTGCTTGGAGGGGGGGGGTGTTAATACATGAGAGTATGTTTAAAATTTTCCCAATTTGACAAAAATGTCGAGGATTTTTCCCAAAAGGTACTGCGACAGCCCTAGTTGTTTAACATCCTGTTGGAGAATTTTTGATGCGCTCGGATCTGAGGCGTATAATGTTTATAATATCAGATCAATATTGCATAAATTTTGCATTTTTGAATGTACACTTTTTGTTGGGTAATTATGTGACTTTGCCTTACTTAAAGACAACATTCGTCGAGGTGAGCTCTGTGATTTCTGATTACCTATGTTTTTAGATCTGTAATGACTACCAATGCTTTTTTCCCAAAGAAAGTATTTTCAATGAATTTTTTTTATCTTTTAAGGTACATTAATGGCAACAGGTGATGCCATATCACAGACGGTAGTGGAAAGAACGGGGAAGTTTGATCTCATCCGAAATGGAAGGTTTCTAGTTTTTGGTGTATTTATTGGAGTAAGTATTTGTCCATACAAAGTTAGAAGTTACAGATAATGGGACTTAGACCATGTCCAAATCCCAAGGCAATGAGGATTTGACAGGCTTTCACAGGCAGTTATAAAGAATTTATTGTAAAAAGAACTTCAATATCTGTTCTTCAATATGGACCCCACTGAAAAAAGAAATCATTGGTGTTTACACCAAAGATTGTTTTTGAGCTCCAGCTATTATCTCCCAAAAATATGGAGAGAAGTGTATGACCCTTCCATTATTACTCACTGGGTTTTAGGTTTGTTAGTGACTTTTGACAGAAATATCAGTGTCATACAACATCAAGACAAAGGTAACCTGTGCATGAGATTTATCTGCCCTATATATTTTTGTAGAGAGTCACTGCTAAAACTTAAGGGTCCTCCACACCATGTGACTTGTGACGTATATAGAGAAAAAATACTTTTACTTCCGGTTTTATCTAGTTTGTACATTGATGATTTGGTCTAGCACCGCTTGTAAGAGAGTCTTACAAAGGCTTGTAAGAGATAAAGGTTTTGCTAAGAGAAAAGTATGCAGCACACTGAGAGTGACACCCTAATCATAAACAATACACATGGCATGATCATGGAGTGACCGATGGAAAAAGAGATGTGTGTGTGGGTTTTTTTTTAAATAAAAGAACAACAGATTTCTGGGATTATGTTACATAATAATTCTTCAACAACGGGTGCCGGTATGACAAGAAACGTTTAGGTTATTTATACTTTCAGGCTAATCAACCCAGTCCGTTTTGATAGTTGAAATTTTTGCACACTAATTTGTGCGTTTCAATAATACATTATCTCATTGTGTGTTTATAAATACATATATTGATAAAATAGTGTGCGTTTCTAGTTTTCTCTTTTATATCTGTCCAGTTTAGTAGCCAATAGTGAGTAAATATAGTAAATTGATATATGCGGAGACTTGCCAAAGTTTTTGAGTCCCGGGCAACAGGAAAGATAACTCCAAAAAGGAACTTTGATACCGACGATTTTGAAAATATTTTTTGTACATCAGTGCATTAAATTTTAATTCAATTTTTTGATGTAATCTAATTCATTGATGTTTCTTCTCTACAAAAGGAGTCTTTATTGATTTTTCTGGAGATGTATTTTAGAGAAAATGAGTTTTATGTACTTTTTATAAATATATAAATTTCTGTAAAAAGAGCTTATAATTATACAAAAGGGTAAGACAAAATTTGTTGTGCTAGGTATGAAAACGCCTTGGGAAAAATTTCTTGAAACTTGTGGAATAATTATTTTAAAAAATCAGTATAAATTACATTTTAATCCCTGGACAGTTTTTAGCTCACCTGAGCCGAAGGCTCAAGTGAGCTCTTCTGATCACATTTTGTCCGTCGTCCGTCTAGCTGTCTGTCCGTCTGTAAACTTTTCACATTTTCAACTTCTTCTCAAGAACCACTGGGCCAATTTTGACCAAACTTGGTACAAAGCATCCTTGGGTGAAGGGGAATTTAAATTGTCAAAATGAAGGGCCAAGTTCCCTCACAAGGGGAGATAATCAAGAAACGACAAAAATAGGGTGGGGTCATTAAAAAATCTTCTTCTCAAGAACCACTGGGCCAGAAAAGCTGAAAGTTATGTGGAAGAATCCTGGGGTAGTGTAGATTCTAAATTGTAAAAATCATGACCCCCAGGGATAGGGCGGGGCCACAATGGGGAATCAAAGTTTTACATAGAAATATATAGGAAAAATCTTTAAAAATCTTCTTCTCAACAACCACTGGGCCAGAAAAGCTGAAAGTTATGTGGAAGCATCCTGGGGTAGTGTAGATTCTAAATTGTTAAAATCATGACCCCCCGGGGGTGGGGCGGGGCCACAATGGGGAATCAAAGTTTTACATAGAAATATATGAGAAAAATCTTTAAAAATCTTCTTCTCAAGAACCACTGGGCCTCAAAAGCTGAAACTCATATGGAAGCATCCTGGGGTAGTGTAGATATTGAATTGTTAAAATCAAGAACCGCGGGGATAGGGCGGGGCCACAATGGGGAATCAAAGTTTTACATAGAAATATATGAGAAAAATCTTTAAAAATCTTCTTCTCAAGAACCACTGGGCCAGAAAAGCTGAAAGTTATGTGGAAGCATTCTGGGGTAGTGTAGATTCTAAATTGTTAAAATCATGACCCCCGGGGGGTGAGCGGGGCCACAATGGGGAATCAAAGTTTTACATAGAAATATATACGAAAAATCTTTGAAAATCTTCTGTTCAAGAACCACTGGGCCAGAAAAGCTGAAACCTATGTGGAAACATCCTGGGGTAGTGTATATTCTAAATTATTCAAATCATGACCCCCGGGGGTTGGGCGGGGTCACAATGGAGAATCAAAGTTTTACATAGTAATAAAAAATGAAAAATCTTTGAAAGTCTTCTTCTCAAGAACCACTGGGCCAGAAAAGCTGAAAGTTATGTGGAAGCATCCTGGGGTAGTGTAGATTCTAAATTGTTCTAATCATGACCCTGGGGTAGGGCGGGGCCACAATGGGGAATCAAAGTTTTACAATGTTGAATCAAAGCATCCTGTGGTAGTGTAGATTTCAAATTGTTTAAAAAATCATTGGGTTGGGGTCACAATATGTATTACAAGGGGAAATCTGGTAAGGAACGAAATGGTCAAAGCTTCTCATGTGAGCGATGTGGCCCATGGGCCTCTTGTTAAAGGTTGATATGCTTGTTAAAAGTAATGCTCAGTAATATGAGAACATATGGGTGTGTGGAGGATCCTTAATAAGTGTTTCATTTTTTCTTGAAAATTTTTACTAAGTAACTTTAATAGTACACTGTATAATAGAAATATAAGATGCCCTTTTACAGCTGAGATACCTGTTGAGGAATGCGGAAAGTTTTGTCCTAGTTGTAAGATTCTATGTGAAAAGGGCCACAGTAGGTTTCTTTTAAATTCAGACATTGTCTTTGTGTATTTTGCCTAGTGTCATGTCTGCACTAGAATCATCAATTCTTGTCAGTTGATGTATCTTTATCATCAGACATCAGTGGCGTAGCATCGTTTTTGAAAGTCGGGAGGCCAGCCAGGGAAAAAAATTTTTTACTTACCTAAAAAAGTTGACAAAAAAAAAAAAAAAAAAAGTTGCCCAAAGTCGAAAATCATATTTCAGGTGAGGGGGGGGGGGGGGGGGGGGGGGGGTTCAACTACTTTTAGTACCAATTCTAATACTACAATTTCAGTACATCACTAAAAGTGGGGAGGCCAATTTGGCTTTCAATTAACATTTCCTATGGTATAAGTAAGGTTGGGAAAAAAACTGAGGCCGCCCCCCCCCCCCCCCCCCCCCGTTGCTACGCCCCTGGACATAGTGGTCATATGGCTAAAATAATTATTACTGACTTATATTTCATGCCTTTGCTTTGGAATAGAATGGAAAGTATGCTGAGAATCATGCAAATTTGTGAATACATGTACATGTCAGTGAAATTGAATCATAGTTTTATGCATCAGTGCATTAGAATTCTTAATAAAACAGAATAATGCAAAGACAATTATTCAATTTTATGTCTCACCTTTAAGTGAATCTTTTAATATTATTTCCAGGGGCCATTATTTAGAGGCTGGTATTTCTCAATAGATAAGATATTTGGCAAAACCAAGTATGCACCTATGAAAATGATGTTAGCAGATCAGGTAAATTGGTTACTTTTGTTTGCAAACTGTTGTAATATTATTTTTAATAGAAATAAAAATTCACTTGAGAATGAAATTTTTGCCAGAGACTATCTCACCTAGTTACACAGATAGAAAGTTTTTGTGAATAAAATGTATGTGATTTGCATTATCATTGATTTATTCTTTCAAAAAGAAAGGAGAAAAAGAGATGCTGTTGCAATATTTATCCATATAAATTGTATATATGATGAAAGTAAACTACATGATGAATAGAAAATCTGACAGTTTTCTCCTTTTTTTGAAACAGTCTTATAATAATTGATTGAAACTTTTTTTTTGCTTTCAGGGATTATTTGCACCAGTATTTTTGCCATTTTTCCTCTTCACCATGGGAGTAATGAGACAAGACCCTGTACATGAAATTGCAGAAAAGGTCAAAAAGGTACAGTTAAATTAAGATTATTTATTTCCATTTCTATAAAATATTCTTAATGTGGGGTTCAGACGTTCTTGGAGAGGATATAGCTTTATAGTGTATTGTAAACTTGCATGTACTCCAACTGAAAAATAATCCTAGTTTTTTTTCAGTTTAAAGTGCCTTTACTTTTCTGACTAGATAAACAGACTTTGAATTAAGATTTTGGAAAATCTTTGATGTTATCATGGACTAAATCATACAAATCTCTGATATGTTATCATAGATCGATTAATCCTACAAAAAATCAGATTCAATCAATCCAGCCTGAATTTCTGTCCTTGTTAAATGATTGTCTCTTTTTCCAAACTTACAAAAATGTCATCTTTAGTACATGTATGATAAAAATAATGCAGTTGTGATTTGGTGAAAAAGTGTTATATACCATCTATTTTATCTTATTTTATTTGTAGGACTATTATGATGTCATGACAACAAATTGGAAGGTAATTAGCATTTTACTTAAAAAATAAAAAGGAAAAAAAAAACAATTTTAATATTAAGCTAATATGAAAGATGGAAATGTGTGTGATTTTAGCGTACATGTGTATTTTGAAATTACAAATTTTCATTGAGGTAAATTTATTTTGGTTTTGTGGATTGAATAGACCCAGGAATTAATGTCCACATCACATTTTATATAAATGTATTTCACTTATATAACTACTCAAGTATTCTTCCTCAAAATCAAATCTCCACAAACCTATATTTTTCCTTAATCCAAGGAAATTTGCCCAACCAAAATACATGTACAATTGTACATATATGTGATTTTACAATATTAACATTTATTTTGCAGTACATTGTACTAATGAAATAATAGAATGTACACCTGTACTTTATTTTAATTAAATATTTCATAGAAATTCATGTAACAAAATTACTTCATAAAATTCAATTCACAATCTCTTAACTACTGGTATATATACATAATCATATCAAATTGACGAAGGTGAATAATGGAAACATAAATTCTAAAATGAAGCATCTTGTTTAAATTTTTCATCAAATATAAGCAGTACATGTTGTGTCGGTATTTTAAATAAAGGATCACTTCATTATAAATAGGGATCTGACCTATAGGACCGGGCTTGGTTTTATTCTCTACAAAAAGCTTGTCGATTTCCGTTCTGATTAATGACATTAGGCTGAATACATATAACAATTTGTTTTTCCTAAATCTTTATTTCAGTGAGTAGAGATAGGAGGAATCCTTTTTATTGATTTTCTGAGTTTGGAGATCCAAATGTAATAATTGATATTTGTCTTTACTTCTCATTGTGCGTAATGTCTACTGCCTCTGAAATTTTATTCTTAATGTCTAGGCTATTTATCCGTGGATATAATAAAAACTTGTCTTTAATGTGTGCAAATTATAAAGGCCTACATGAAATCCAAGTGAGTGCATTTACTGAAATATGAAGCCAAAATCAATGTGATTAAATTCTAAGGGATATATACAATTGAAATTCATCGCAGCTCATTGCTTCCAGGAATACCTGTATTGAGTAACACATAGTGAGTTATTCTTGTCCTCGGAGAAAGTCTGAGGTTCGTTCCACCTGACTGACAACTGTACATTGGATTGTTACGATTTAATATCTCTTTAGTGTTTCTTATATCAAGAATGGGAATGCATAAGGGATAAGCAATTGAAGGAAAAATACACAAGTCTATAAAAAAATTAAAATAGTCTTTGAAAAGGCGAAATTTAAAACTGTAAAAGTGTTGTACCAGGTGGATTCGAACCCCCGACTTTAAAAAGAGAGTATCCAAGGTATAAAAGTCAGCGCATATATCAACTGAGCTAGTATGACTATAAGAAGGAATGGCATAAATTTAGAGAAGATTTTGAAAATCTGGTTTCCTTATTTTTTGTAGGTTTTTTGTGAATTTCGACCCCAGGGCAGGGGTGCCCCTAAAAAAATCTTATCTTAAATTATTCCTTACATCCTAACCTATCAAAATATCATAATTTTATTTAGGGGCAGGCCTGCCCTGATGGACTTTAAGGCCAAAATTCATGCAAAAATCAAAGCTTTAAAGGACAAAATGATGTTTCGATCAACTTTGGAGGATTATTGTAAAGTTGTAAATAATAAATTTTAGGTATAAAATACAAATTTAAAAAATTTAGACATATATACGGTAGAAAACAACAAATAAAGATTGATTTTTAAATGTCACTTTTTCCGGGAAATTGTTCTCCCCTATAGGTCAATTCTTTTGTTAAAGCGAATACATCCTTTGTCACAATAATAGTGCTATGTTTTCCTTTGTCAGATCTGGCCTGTATTTTAGCTATATTTTGTCACAATAATAGTGCTATGTTTTCCTTTGTCAGATCTGGCCTGTATTTTAGCTATATTTTGTCACAATAATAGTGCTATGTTTTCCATTGTCAGATCTGACCTGTATTTTAGCTATATTTTGTCACAATAATAGTGCTATGTTTTCCTTTGTCAGATCTGGCCTGTATTTTAGCTATATTTTGTCACAATAATAGTGCTACGTTTTCCTTTGTCAGATCTGACCTGTATTTTAGCTATATTTTGTCACAATAATAGTGCTATGTTTTCCATTGTCAGATCTGGCCTGTATTTTAGCTATATTTTGTCACAATAATAGTGCTATGTTTTCCTTTGTCAGATTTGGCCTGCGGCTCAGATAATAAACTTTACATTTGTGCCACTTCAGCATAGGTAAGGATTCATGTGGCTTTTCTGTCACCACTGTTGTGCTGTGTTTTATTTCATCACTCCTTTTATTAAGTTGTAGTTCATGAATGAATGAGGCCACACCAATTTAATTTCTTGTTCGTAGGACCTCTAATGAAAAAGTATACATGTACAAGTGGCTGAGCAATTGAATAATATTACATGTATTACTTTTATGGGAGCAATTTTTTTAGGCTGAACATAAAAATTTGAGCTGACATTTATATTTGTTCTACTTTTTCTGATTTGTAGATTAAGTAGATTTAAATAAAATACAAAAAATAGAGCAGAAATAGATCAGAAATGAGCACGGAATTTCCCATGTGTAGGAAATTTGAATATTATTCGTAAAATTTTGCTTAGATAAAAGTGTATCAAAAGTGACAAATTAACTTGGTGCGGTCTTATCATCATTTCATTAACGTAGAAAAATTAATTCTTAGAAATTTAATTTTACATAATATAGGTTGATTATTTTTAACATTATGTGTAAAAGTCACATTTAGAACTCCAAGATTAGGCTCTTATTCAATTAGTCATATTCAAAGCATACACAAAGAATACACTACTGGACTTGAAATTCCCTGATATTCTGATTATTCTCTGAAAATCTCTGATAGACTCTGTACTTTCACTGTAAATCACTGTACTTGGCTCTGTACAACACAGTACATTACAGCACATCACTGTACAGAATCACAGCATTTCCCAGCACCTCCCTGTACTTCACAGTACATTTCCTCTGTACATCACAGTACTCTACAGTACTTCCTAGTACGCAGTCACTGTTTTCCACTGTACGTCACAGATTTTTGCTGTACAGATTACTGTACTTCACAGTACATTACTATTATTCCCTGTACACATATACTGTACATTACAGTACATCACAGTATTTCACAGTACACATAACTGTACATTACTGTACTGCAGTTTTACACTGTCCTTTTCCCCATTGAGTTTTATTTAATAAAAAGTCTTAATTCTAGTAAATGACTGAATTTTTAATAATTCTGTTATCAAAGTTTTGTATTTATATTTTTCATCCTAAGTATTTCCGTGTAAGCATTTCGGAGGTTAAATTTCCAATATCACACCCGTTAAAAGAAAAAAAAGGCCAAGACAAGAGTTTGATTTAAAATGGCTTCTTTTTTTTTTTTTTAATCTTTAATCAATATTTTTTTCAGATGACTAAATATTTCATTTCTCTATGTTTCCGTGTACAGAGGACCAATATAATAAACCGAAAAATGCCCCGTTACCTTTATGTTGAAATTTAATTCTTTGAGTTTACTTAATTATCTAAATCCGCTGAAAATTTATTTTCTGCTTTCTTTCTTTTGTAAATTAAAAACCAATAGCATTTACCTCTGCTCTAACTCTATTGACTTAAACTTATTTAGATACAATTATGAATGCAGTGATTATGTACTAGATAAATTTCATAGTATAACATTGTATAGTTATGTATTTTCCTCTTCTTTTTATTTTTTTGTATCTAAAAACACAATCACAATTAAATGTAGCAAAAGTTTTTTTCCCTTCTTTCAAGATAATACGGTTTATTCTCATCTCGCCTTAACTGTAAAATTAAGCATTCCCGTTTCGCCTTAGTAAGCTCTTAAGTGAATTAAGGAAATGAAGATTTAATATATTCAGCATAAAGTATTTTTTGGTATATCATGTATTATTTCATTCGCAGTATTCATAAATTGCCATTAATTATTAAATTAAATTTTAAATAAATATATCATTTAATTTTTTATATCAACCCAGTAATAATATTCACAAATACTAAAATTCCCATTTCGCCTAAGTATTTTTTTAATGAATAAAATACTAAAGGATTGTTTTGTTATATAATCCTAATTAATATTACATAATCTGAAAAAAAATAATTTGAGCATCGTATGTACAATTGCTAGGGCATTTATAAATTATGTATTTTTCACATGAACTGATAATGCACACATATATCTATAAATCTGAATTCTTAATAAATCATGATCTCAAGTTAAAATAAATTGAGTGATGTCAAACTGCACAAATATTAAGTGTAAATAAAATGAATTTACAGTTAAAAACGGACTTAGACTAAGTTATGTTCGTAAAAAAGCATTCTTTGTTGAGTCTACCTTAATCAATCTTAAATGATTTAAAATTTTTATTGATATAGTATGACTTATATATTAATAACTTTTTTTTTCAAGAATTACCTTCAGATTTTAAGTAGCAATCTTTCACTGATGACATTGCGACACTTCCTTAAATTCAAAAACATTTTTCTATTAAAAGGAAAATTATAAAAGAGTTGAGTTTAGTTAAATAACAAAATTTTTAAATGAAAAGTGTCAAAAAAGATTATACTAGTACAGTTTAATAATTCTAAAATGTATTTATGAAAGATCCAGCTTAAATTAATTCACTTCGAACAATAAATTGTAATATTATAACAATTACTTTTTATTTATTTTTTTTGTTATAATTACACTTTACTTGAACACAAGAGAAGAGAGAGAGAGAGAGAGAAGATATTTCCGAATCCACGTGTCACTTCAATGTTGCGTAATATTGCATGTTTGTATATACATGTAGCCGGCGAGTGTCCATGGCGGCAGTGACACCTGTCGTCTTACTGTTCGGGGTACTTCCCGGTGCTGCCAATAGTGTGTACACACTTTTGTTTGTAAACAAGCGATGCTAGAGTTACCAATTTCTGAAATCTTTTTTACCTGACAAAAATACTCTCGAAAATTTGGTATCAAATAATTGTCACAGACTCTGTTAAGATTACATGTACATTACATTCTGACTTTAATTAGCTAAGATAGAAACTACTTTTGACAGAAATTAAAAATATTTTCTAGCAACAGAATAAAAGTCAGTGTAAATGAACGATGATTACTAATATATTTTTCTCTGTTACTCGCGCATTTTTTATATTCAAAAATATTTACTCTGTCAGTCTAAATACTAGCTTATAGCACTATCACAGTGCCTTACAAATTTTTACAAGTCCCTTAATATATCTCAGTAAACGTAAAAAAAAAAATCTATTTTAGTTATTTTGTTTTTACGAATCAAACTTCATGCAATCCATCATCAATGAGAAATGTTGATATTTGACATCCCCTCCTTTGATATGATATTTTAAAAAGATAAAAAAAAGATTAAGAAAGAAAATAGAGAGAAGAAAATATCCAATCATTGATATTGTCAAAAAATTTATGCATCTTTAATAATGATTGCCCCCCTCACCCCAAAAAGAAAAACAATCAAGGTTTCCTTGAGTGTTTAAATATAAAATTCAACCGTGATCCCCTAAAATCGGTCATGGCACGTTTGAGTATAACAATGCAGAGATCTGATGGCACGAAACTGATGGCCCCGGGCAATTCACCGGCTTTAATTTGATAAAATATCATTTTTTCTTTTGCATGCAAGACCCTTTGAGAACTTTAAATTCAATTAGTAAATGCTAAAATTACCAATGAATTATAACAAATTTACATTTAAACTGTGAAGCAATGAGGGATCTTTCTCGCTCCCGTGCCATCAGTTCCGTGCCATCAAATCCTTGCAATCGTGCCATGACGGACTACCAATGCACAAATCTATAGGAAGTAATCAAAGTTACTTATTCTTGTGCAAACGTCAACAAATATTCTGTTGTTGTTGATTATTAATTTGTTTGATTATTTTTCTTTATTATCATTTTGATCTATTACACGGCACATTACTCAGCAGTGAGGGACCTTTCTTGTTCGCTGATCCTTAGGCCCCGTGTCTTCAGCTCCTCAGTAAACCGTTCTTCTCAAACATGTTCAATCTATACAATATTTAATTGCTTAGTTTTTGTGAAAAAAATAAAACAAATATATTCTACATTTAGGGGTCATGTACTCGCACGCAGGGTCCGTGTCTGTCTGTAGCTCCTTAGCATATTTTTTTGCTCCGACGTGCGATACTGATTCTCTCAACACAAATTTAAAACATACACATAGAAATTATTTATTATTGTGATAATCCAAGAGTCTGCACTTATGGGTATTGTGATCTGGACGCATTTAAGGAGGAAAACATACCAAAAAATCCTTATTAGGAAAGATAACCAATGCTGACAAACTGGAAAAACGGCTTCAATCAACAAAATATTTATTTACTAACACATCGATAAAACTCAAATATTACATGCTACATGTTTTACTTCATTCAATATATTATATAATCCATTTTTTGAGCGCGATTCTGAATGAAATTTTTTCTAGGAACTTACTTGAAACGATATTATTTTCATTAAATGCCGTATTTACATCTTATGCATCAACAACCCCCCCCTTCCCCAACTCCCCCATTTGAAGGACTTCCTATTAGGCCTATTTGATGTGGATGATCTTAATAAAGACTGCACATGTATCTCAAGTTTCCAATAACTTTTGACAAAATACTACTTTGTAATTACTTAATGTATGATCCATTATTGTTTATTGATGTATCCTCTATCTTCTTTCTCACTCTTTCTCTGTGTGTTTTATTCTTATGATTTACATGTATCTTACAAATTGCTATAATAATCATTTTCTCTCTGCAGCCCCCCCCCTCTCTCTCTCTCTCTCTCTCTGGGTTAATTCAATATTTGTTATTTGATTTTGTATACATATACTTTTTTCCCTATTTTAATCAGTTTATGCATTGTGTTTCTAGTACAATATCTATGTACAGTTAATTCTCGATAAACCGCCACCTTTTGTAATTTAGAAATCATGGCGGTATAACGGATTTGGCGATGAATTGAATTTCCCATCTTCTGGAAAACAAGAAGTAGAGTTACCGTTCTTAGAAATACCATTTCGTTTCTCTTATCTCTCATTTCTCTCTCTCTCTCTCTCATTTTTTATTGTACAAATTGTTGTGCAGTTATGATGATATAGGTGTATTTACAAAGTTCTTTTTGCGTAATATAAGTAAAATGAATTCTTGAATAA